GCGAACGTGCAATTGCGACACGCTGCTGCTGGCCACCGGACAGCTGACCGGGGTATTTCAGTGCCTGCTCCGGGATCTTGACGCGCTCAAGATAGTGCATCGCGACCTCTTCGGCTTCCTTCTTCGGCATCTTGCGAACCCAGATCGGAGCCAGCGTGCAGTTCTCCAAAATGGTCAGGTGCGGAAACAGGTTGAAGTGTTGAAAGCACATACCGACTTCACGGCGAATTTCATCGATTTTCTTGAGATCGTTGGTCAGTTCGATCCCATCCACGACGATCTGGCCGGCCTGATGCTCCTCAAGACGATTGATGCACCGGATCATGGTGGATTTGCCGGATCCGGATGGTCCGCAAATAACGATACGCTCGCCGCGCATGACCTTCAGGTTGATATCGCGAAGTACGTGAAAGTCACCGTACCATTTGTTCATGTTGTTGATTTCAATCGCCACATCCGTGTCGGAAATCATCATCTTCGAGCGATCGGCGGCAAGCTCTTCCGCGTTTACAGCATTTTCTGACATGCGTTTTTACTCCAGAATTTCAGTGGCCGGGGCGCAGCGGAGTTTCGCGCGCCCCGAAGATCTTTCTAGCGTTTATGCCCTGTGTGCAGCCGCCTCTCCATGAAAATGGAATAGCGGGACATGCCGAAGCAGAAAACAAAGAACACAATGGCTGCAAAGAGATAGCCCGTGTGTCCCTGCGTGGGTGTCGACCACGTCGGATCCGTGAAGGACGATTGTATCTGGCCAAGCAGGTCGAACATGCCGACAATCAAGACCAGTGTCGTATCCTTGAACAGGCCGATGAAGGTGTTGACGATACCAGGGATCACCAGTTTCAGCGCCTGAGGAAGAATGATGAGATACATCATCGGCCAGAAGCGGAGACCCAGAGCCATGGCCCCTTCATATTGCCCCTTTGGAATTGCCTGCAGCCCACCGCGCACGACTTCCGCCATGTAGGCGGCGGAGAACAAGGTGACGCCGATCAGAACACGGAGCAACTTGTCGAACGTAACGCCTTCCGGCAGGAAAAGCGGCAACATCACCGAGGACATGAACAGCACGGTGATCAGCGGAACACCGCGCCAGAACTCGATGAAAATGACGGAAACCAGCCGAACGATCGGCATGGTGGACCGTCGACCAAGCGCCAGGGCGATACCGAGCGGCAGAGAAGCCACGATGCCGGTGACGGCAATCACCAGTGTCACCAGAAGACCACCCCAGACAGGCGTATCAACTGTTGATAGTCCGAGGTTGGCCGACACGAAACCCAATATGATCGCAAGTACCACAGCCGTTCCGACAAATCCGATCAGAACAGGTTTGACGCCATTGAAATCCCGCCCTCCGGCAACCATCAGGATTGCCGCGAGTGCAACACCAACAGCAGCGATCAACGCGACGAAGATCCACGTGTAGGAGCTGATGCTGATGTTGCCGCCAGTCAGAAGAACGAAGGCAACAATAGGGAACACGCCAAGAAAGAGAATGGAATTCAACTTCTTGAGCGGCATACTCGGCATTGCCAGCGGAACCAGCAACAAGGCAAAGAGTGCATAGACGATATTCACCCGCCAGATCTCGTCGGTCGGATACCGACCATAGATGAATTGCGGGAAATAGGCCTCAACATAGGCCCAGCAGGCGCCCATGTGTTCCCCTTCCGACCCTTCAGGGGGAAGGCATGCCTTTCTGTCATCACCTGTCCAGATCGCGTCGATGAAAGCAAACTGGATAAAGGGTGCGATAATCCAGTAGGCGATAATCACGCCAATGACGGTCAGAACGGTATTGCTGATGGATGAAAACAGGTTCTGCCTCATCCAGCCGATCAGACCGGTGGTCGAGACAGGCGCCGGCAGAAGCGGCGCCTCCTCGGTTCTAATCTGAAATGTTTCAGTTTTGGCCATTGTTAGCGCCCCCTATCTTTCCACGAGCGCCATGCGCTGGTTGTACCAGTTCATAAAGGCCGACGTGACCAGACTGAGTGTCAGATAGATCGCCATCCAGATTCCGATGATTTCGATTGCCTGCCCGGTCTGATTGAGGACCGTACCGCCAACAGAAACAAGATCAGGAAATGCGATCGCAACAGCCAGGGACGAATTTTTCGTCAGGTTCAGATACTGACTTGTCAGCGGCGGAATGATGACACGCATCGCCTGAGGGATGATCACCAACCTGAGCGTAGGGCTTTGACGCAGGCCAAGGGCATGCGCGGCTTCCGTCTGCCCGTGGCTGACCGCCTGAATGCCCGCGCGGACAATCTCCGCAATGAACGATGCGGTGTAGATTGACAAAGCAGCCGTCAATGCGAGGAATTCAGGTATGAGGTTGAAGCCGACATTCAACTGAAACCCCTGACGGATCCGAGGTCCCGTGTCGACAAACACCGGATGTTCCAGATGCATGGGCATACCCGTCACGAAATACGTGATCAGCGGCAAACCGATTATCAGCCCCACGGCCGTCCAGAAGACAGGAAACTGTTGACCGGTCGCTTCCTGCCGTTTGCGTGCCCATTGGGCAATCACAATACATGCGACGATCGCAATGATTAAGGCGATACCGATGAAGGACGCTCCATCCTCCCCGATCGGTTTTGGTCCGCGGAACCCTGCGATGTTCAGATGAAAGCTGTCGAAAAAGAACGACCATTTTTCACGTTTCCCGGGAACAGCCCTGAGAACCGCGAAATACCAGAAGAAAATCTGAAGAAGCAGCGGAACGTTGCGGATCAGTTCAACGTAGCAATATGCCAGCCGGCTGATAACCCAGTTGTCGGAAAGACGGGCAATACCAACAACAAATCCGATAATTGTCGCGACAAAGATACCGACAATCGCGACAAGAAGAGTGTTCAGGAATCCAACATACAGCGCTTGCCCGTAGCTCGACGTTTCCGAGTAGGATACCAGCGACTGGATGATACCGAATCCAGCTGTGTTTTCGAGAAAGCCCCAACCAGAGGCGATGTTTTGCCGCTCAAGGTTGGCGGCCGTGTTTGATACGATGTTGTATCCCACAAAGACAAGCACGGCGATCAGGACAACCTGAAAAAATATGCCGCGGACTTTGGGATCGTTCAACAGCGAAGCACGCGCCGGCGCCCCCGCCGAGTCCTGCTCCATTACAGACATAGAACCTCGCCAAATTTCTACGGAAAGAGCCCGGCAATCTGCCTCTCCTCTTTCGCGTCTTGACTGCTTCAGCAGCACGCTGTCGCGCACTCCCCTATCGACTATCGAAGCAGTTTGTTCCCCCCACGCTTTTACCGGTTTTCCGGATTTGTGTGCGTGGCCTTGTTATTTTGAGGGTTCCGGCAGGTTACTGCCGGAACCCCTGTTTTCCTCAGAACAGACGAGGATTAGCGAACCGGCGGAGCGTAAAGGAATCCACCATCGCTCCACAGCGCATTCACGCCGCGCGAGATGCCGAGCGGAGTGTCCGGACCGACATTGGCATTGAAGGATTCTTCGTAGTTACCGACGTTCTTGACGACGTTGTAAGCCCAGTCGTTGGACAGGCCGATGCCTTCACCATAAGCGCCCTCAACACCAAGCAAGCGCTTTACGGACGGGTTGTCGGAAGACTTCATGTCGTCAACATTGGCCGACGAGACGCCAAGTTCTTCAGCGTTGATCATCGCGTTGAGGGTCCATTTGGCGATATTGAACCATTCGTCATCACCCTGACGCACAACCGGACCAAGCGGCTCTTTGGAAATGATTTCCGACAGAACCATGTGGTCGCCCGGGTTGGTCAGCTTCAGACGCTGTGCGTACAGACCGGAAGCATCCGTTGTGTACACGTCGCAACGACCGGCATCATATGCAGCAACAACTTCGTCTGCCTTTTCGAAGGCGACGATTTCATACGGCATATTGTTGGCACGGAAATAGTCAGCAACGTTCAGCTCGGTGGTTGTACCGGTGTTGGTGCAGACCGAAGCGCCGGACAGCTCGAGCGCCGAGGTGACGCCGAGATCCTTGCGAACCATGAAACCCTGGCCGTCGTAGTAGTTGACGCCGGCAAAGTTCAGACCCAGCTGAGTGTCACGGGACATGGTCCACGTGGTGTTGCGGGACAGGACATCGACTTCGCCTGACTGCAGTGCGGTGAAACGCTCTTTTGCAGACAGCGGCGTGAATTTTACAGCCGACGCATCACCGAACACTGCAGCAGCCATTGCGCGGCAGAGATCAACGTCGAGACCGGTCCAGTTCCCCTGTGCATCTGGATTGGAGAAGCCCGGCAGACCCTGACTCACCCCACACTGGATGAAACCTTTTGCCTTGACATCTTCCAAGGTTGTCGCACTCGCAGCCGTGGTCGCGGCGACGCCCATTGCAGCGCCGAGTACGAGTGGAAGGATTTTTTTGGACATGGATATGCAGCCTTTATTTGTTACCCATTTTATTTTTATGCTGGGCTTCGTTGTAAGAAATCCTCAACGTCCCGTTCGTAAACGAGCGTGTGCCTTTTTGACGGCTTCCTCCAGATTTCTACCTTTCCACCCAACGAGCCCATACGATTGCATTTGGCTGTTCGGGTCAAGTACTTGCTGTCATTATCTCGACAAAAATCGCAGGGAAACACTCGATCTGCATCCGCCGAGTGCACAAATAGCGAACATGCCCAGTTCGAATTCATTCAATGCCTTAAACATGTTCACCGGATCTTCGAATTTCCGGCACCCCATTAACCTTAATCGTAAGTTACACGTTGAATTGAAGCGCGAAGCGCCCTCAACCACCCTTGTTGAGAGCCCTGCGAATTGTCTAAAATAGCCTTTCCCATCCGGGCGAAACCCAAACTCCCGATATCGACCCCCTTAAACAGAGCTTCCATGTCCCATTCTGCCAGCAAGTCCCCGTTGAAACCCGACACAAGGCTGGCGCATGCCGGTCGTGACCCCAATTCGTTTCACGGGTTTGTCAATCCGCCGGTTGTTCACGCGTCGACCGTTCTTTATCCAGATGTGGAGACAATGGTTCCCGGAGGTCAGAAATATTCCTATGCCCGCCGCGGCAATCCGACGACGGATTCACTTGAAGATGCCCTGCAGGAACTGGAAGGGGCAGCCGGCGTCAAACTTGCCAATTCCGGCCTGAACGCAGTCGCTCTCGCGCTCCTCTCCTGCGTGAAATCCGGTGACCACATCCTGATTACGGACACGGCTTACCAGCCGACGCGGCATTTCGCGGATACAGTCCTGCCGAAATTCGGAGTAACCGCCGAATACTACGACCCGAAGCTCGGCGCAGACATCAAGACCCTGTTCAGGGAAGAAACATCCGCGGTCTTCACCGAGGCCCCGGGATCCCTTACGTTCGAAATGCAGGATGTTCCGGCAATTGCAGTTGCGGCGCATGAAATCGACGCGACCGTTCTCATGGACAATACATGGGCCACTCCCCTGTTCTGCCAACCGCTTGCCCTCGGTGTCGATCTTTCGATTCAGGCAGGTACCAAGTACATTGTCGGTCATTCCGACGCGATGCTCGGTACCGTAGCTGCGAGCGAAAGAGCGTGGAAAGGCCTCTATGACATTCACGGTGCGATCGGCAGCCACGTTGCACCGGACGACGTCTATCTCGGCCTCCGGGGATTGCGTACACTCTCGGTCAGGCTGGAGCGGCATCAGAGGAATACGCTTGCTGTTCTCGATTGGCTGAAAGACCAGCCTCAAATCGAGGCGGTAAGTTATCCCGCGCTTGAATCAGATCCCGGCTTTGCAATCTGGCAACGCGACTTCACCGGCAGTTCAGGTTTGTGCGGATTTGATTTCAAGGCCGGAACCACAAAGGAACAGGCCGGCGTGTTCCTCAACGCCCTCACCCTGTTCGGCCTGGGATATTCTTGGGGCGGCTTCGAGAGCCTGGCTATCCCGGCAAGGCTCAAGGGCATGCGGACCGCAACGTCCTATGACGAAACACGTTGTTCGATTCGCCTTCACATCGGACCCGAAGATCCGGAAGATCTGGTCAACGACATCGAGCAGGCCCTAGCCAGGGCATTCGGCTAATTTGTGGAGGTCGAGAACAGGCAGGGTCAGATCGTCGGGTCCTGCCGCTTTTCCTTGAAGATCAGCCACAGGTTCCGAAAATAAATAACAAGGCCAAGCCCCTGCCCTGCGATAAACACGGGATCCTGGCGCTGAATGGCGTAGATCAGCAACAGCGACCCGCCTGCGATGGAAAAGAACCAGAAGGCAACCGGCACAATTGATCGACCGACGCGTTCAGAGGCGACCCATTGAATGACGAAGCGCATCATGAACATGGCCTGAGCGAAAAAACCCAGAATTATCCAAAAATCGAATTGCTCGACAAAAACAGTATACAGCCAGTCGTAAAGAGCAGTCATTGGGCAGATCCAATCGGTTCAATCGGGCACAAGACCCGTCGTTCTTCTTGTTTCAGCTGTCCGTCACGTCAGCGGCCGGACAGTCGGAATTTTCTTACGGCGCCGCCGCAACCACCACACCCCAAACAGATCACGCACGCCGACCAGTGCCCGGTCGAATATTCCGTATTTTGAAGTGCCATGGCGCCGTTGCCGGTCCTGAACGTCGATATGAACGACATCGAATCCTTCACGGATCACGAGCGCGGGCAGGAAACGATGCCAGCTGTCAAAGTAAGGCAGTTGCAGAAACACTTCGCGGCGCAGCGCTTTCAGACCGCAGCCGCTGTCTCTGGTCTTGTCCTTCAGGATCGCACCGCGAAGCCTGTTGGCGAACCTTGATGCATAACGTTTGGCTAGACTTGCCTTGCGGCCAAGCCTCTGGCCGGCCGCAAGAGCGGTTGAGGCTCCCGCAGCCTGAAGCGCGTCCAGAAGCTGGGGGATATAGGCCGGATCATTCTCGCCGTCACCGTCAATTGTCGCAACGATATCGCCGCGCGCATGCTGCACGCCAGTGCGCACAGCACAACTCTGGCCACAAGACAATTCGTGACGCACAGGCCTCAGCCAGTCATGGGTTGCGGCATAGTCCTGCAACACGATGTCCGTTCCGTCCGAAGATCCGTCGTCAATAACGATGACTTCGAACTTGCGTCCTGCCAAGGCGGCTTCGATCTCGTCCAGGAGAATGGGAAGGTTCTGTGCCTCATCCTTTGCCGGCACAACAACCGTCACGGCAAGTGTGCCCTTGTTGGCCGCCAAGCCTTCAAGATAGCTCTGTGTCATGAAATTGTCCGTTCTGTCCGCTCTGCGTCCGGACTTTCAACCGGCACCCTGTCGATACCACGCTGGCCACGAAGGGTCTGCCAGACCGCGCGTACACACGCCTTCGCAGAACGTGAATTCATATTGGGTTCAATCTTTCCGGAAGACGACAGGTGAAAGCCTATCCGCCGACGCGCCATCGCTCTTACCGTGAAGAATGTGAAAGTCATGCCCAGAAGCGTGCCAGCGATAACATCGCTCGGATAATGGGCTCCAACCATAACGCGGCTGAAGGCGAGCCAGAAGGCTGCAACGATAATCAGCCAACGGTAGGCGGGAAAGATAAACGCGAGTGCGGTTGCGAGCGCAGCCACCGTGGTGGAGTGGCCGGATGGAAAGCTTGTGTAGGTTCCATCAAAGGCAAGAAAGTCGAAACGAACCGGGCCGACATGTTCATAAAGCTTCGGCCGGGCCCGGCCCAGGGACCACTTGAAAGCAATTGCAAGCAGACCTGTCGCAGCGACCGAATAGAATATGAATGCAGCGTAAGTGAAAACCGATCCTATCGCCATGCGAATGCGGAAGGCATAGCGTCCTGCATCCAGGGCCAGAAGAAACAGACAGGTCAGTCCTGTCGAAATCAGTATCCAGTCTGCCTTGCCAAAATCTGTAAAGGCTCTGAAGCCGTTCCGGTATTCGCCCGGGAGGGACCGGAGCCAGGGATAGGTCGGTACATCGAACACGACCACCGCAACCCCCACAGTCAATAACAGGATTGCGAGTATGTCCTGTGGTCGTTGGCCAGGTGGCAACGGATCAAGGCTGTTAAGTGCTCGTGCCTTGCGGCCTGAAAACAGCATTCCCGCGCGGCGGATGTTCCCGCGCATTCGCGCCAGCACTTTCCGGACGCTGTTACTGCTGCTCGTCATTGCCGTCTTCTGCACCTTTTGTCGCGGTCGCATTCTGGTAAAGCGCGATGTCGACCTCATCGCCGCCGTTAATGTTGAGGCCGTCTACCCTTATTCTGACCTTCGGCACAAGATCAATCTCCTTGGCTTCCGCCAAAAACGCTGCTTCTTCCCGGCTTTCTATGGCAGCAACCCGGCAAGTTGCCTGACCACCCGCCCCTGCCTTTGCCAGAAATTCAGCAGCCCCTGTGGGTGATATGATGCGTGTGCCTGTTCCCTCCAGAAAGATGAAACTCGGCTCATGGAAGCCTGCGGTGACGACCTGGCGCGAAGACGCATCCCTACATCCGGGAATTTCATCCAGTGCCGCGACCAGTCTCGGGCTTACCCAGACCGGTGTCAGTGCAGGACCAACGAAACCCCAGATTCCGACAGCAACACAGATGGCACTCAGGGTTACTGCTGGAAAGGCATAAAGTGCCGGACCGCGAAACAACCTGGAGGCGGCGGCAATGCCGAAGACGGCTCCAAGTGCGACAATCACCGCACCGGGTGGCGACGGCCAAATCCCGAGCACGATAGGTCCCGCGAAAGCGATTGCCGCCAATCCGACCGGTGGGAGCGCCAACAGCACGGCCGCGATGATACGAACCCATTTTCTGGAGTGTTCACCGGCTCCCTCAAGCAGAGCGGCCGCCACAGGCAGCGCAAGCGCCGGCAAAAGCGGCATCGTGTAATGCGGCAACTTTGTCGCGACGAGTTCGAATACGATCCAGCTTGGAACAAACCAGGCGATTGCAAATGTTACAAGCGGACTCGCCCGTTCCTTCCAGATCAACGGCAGAGCAATCAGGAAAAACGCGGGAAGCGGCCAGAAGACGCCAAACATCGCCCCCAAATGTGTCAGGGGCGGTGCACCGTGCCCTTCCTGGCCCTGCCCAACTTTGCCGAGCAGGTCTCGTCCGATAGCTTCTGTGAAGAAGGTGCCGTCGGTCGCAATCCAGATTGCCACGAACCATGGCGAAACAAGCAGAAGAAACCAAACGAAACCGATCAAAGGTGACGCTGCCCTGAACCAGGAAAAACTCCTCTTCAGGACCATCAGTCCCAGCACGGTCAGACCGACAACCATCAAGCCGACCGGGCCCTTGATCAGCACACTGCCGGCCAGAGCCGTCCAGAACAGAAAACTCAACCCCCAAGCCCGTTCTGTGGTTGCTTTCAGCCAGATGCGTGCAAGCGCGCCCTGCGCAACGATGACCGTGGCAAACAGAACGGCATCAGTCTTGGCCAGTCGCGCCTCGACACCGACGATGATCGACAAGACCACAAACCCGGCAACGATCACCGCCCCTGCCGGTCCCATGAAGGCTCGCGCCATCCAGAAAGCTGCAAAGACACAGAACACGGCGCCGATGAGTGATGGCAGCCTGTAGACCCAGAGCGGGGCTTCCGCATCATGACCCGTCAGCTTGACCGCGGCAGCCTGCAACCAGTAAATTCCGACGGGCTTCTTGTGCCGTGCCTGCTCCTGAAACCGGATATCGATATAGTCACCGGTTTCGAGCATTTGCTTCGTCGCCTGCGTATATCGAGGTTCGTCCCTGTCAAGCGGCGGCACTGTCCACTGTCCCGGCACAAAGAGCAGAAGCGACAAAATCAGGAGTAATAAAGGGGCGGTAATGTCGTGGCCGAATATTTTCAGCCAGATCGGCTTGCGCATCATTGCGGACTTTGTGTCCGACGAACCGTCATCCATTTCCGGCTCCGCCCGATTTTCGTCGCGAATCCCGGTAGTTGTCTTCGATTTCCCGGCGCCTTGGTCTTCTGCCGGTTCTGACACCCGCAGCCTTGGAGCGTCGCTTTTTTCTGCCATAAGATGCCGTTTCCAAAGTCTGGTGCTGCGCAGTAGCAGCCTGCAACCTAGTCTGGTGCTGCGCAGTAGCAGCCTGCAACCTACCTCTAAAAAGCACTCTCCTACATGAGCTTTCCAAAAAGGGAAACAAGTGCTTGCCCTTATCAAACGCTGAGCTATCGTCCGATACTCACAAAAACGCTCACAGATTCCTGGATTGCAAATGACCCTGATCGCCCAGATAACCGATTTGCATCTGCGCCCCAAAGGCTTGGCCTGCTATCGGGTATCAGATACCAACATGATGGCAGAGCGTGCTGTCCGCTCTCTCCTTTCACTGACGCCACAAGCGGACGCAATCGTCGTTACGGGCGATCTGACCGACCGCAGCGACCCAAGAGAATATGCCGTTGCCAGGGAACTTCTTTCTCGTTTTGAAGTGCCGGTATTTCTCCTGCCGGGCAATCATGACAGCAGTGAAGGCATGCGTCGTGAAATGGCCGACTATCCGGGCATAGGTGAAAACAGGGACGGCAAGATTTTCTATTCCGCGATGATTGAAGGCATTCAGCTGATTGCGCTCGATTCACATCTTTCCGGCCATCCTCAGGGATACCTTGGAAACGAACAGCTGAGCTGGCTCGAAGCAGCCCTTCGTAAGTGCGATGCACCGACAATAATTGCCCTTCACCATCCGCCAGCACTTACAGGCATTGAGCATATGGACAATATGGGTCTGAACGACGCAGCCGCACTTGAGGAAGTTCTGAGTCCCCACACACATGTCCAGAGAATTCTCTGCGGACACGTCCATCGGCCGATCGTGACCAGTTTCGCGGGCAAGATCATGACACTTGCCCCCAGCACCGGTCATCAGGTCGCCCTCGATCTACGGGAAAACAGCCCCGCAATGTTCAATTTCGAACCTGCTGCCTATTTTCTCCATTATCACTCCGAGAAAACCGGCATTGTTACCCATATGGCCTATGTCGAGAATTTTCCGGGGCCTTACCATTTCTTTGCCGACCAGGGCGTCACCTGGCCAGGAGACGAGAATTGATGCACGCAAAGGCCGCAGTCCTGTATCCGTTC